CCTAGATTCAAGTGTTTTTATTGGACCATTATAACATAGCCCTTGTACTGGGTAGCAGAGGGGATTACAACGCTTCCCTTGGTTGACAACAAAGCAGTTCTTGCCGTGACCAGAGTTTGAGAAGCAAAAAAGTCACTAGTCCGGGTGAACACTGCATCACCGCAAAAATCTTGGTTTCTGTAGAATTTGATCGGTATGAGTACTACATGAATTTTATAGAGTAGATGGTCAAAAGGATCCGCATAATATGTAGATCGCTCTTACACCTGCGCTCAGGATCACAGCTGGACCTTCTTTACTGATAATCAGCACAGATTGCCAGTTACGATTACGGGCACGAATTCGATAACGAAGTCCTCAAAGCAGTTTGAGAATCTATTCTATTTTCTTGATAGCTACGACCCTGCTCAATGATTACTAAAGCTCGAAACGCACGGTTCCCTGTCTTTGAAATGACTTCCGACGTCTCCGGGCTCTGGAGAAGGCGGTCACTCCAAAAGGCTTGCTTGATAATTTATTGTTGTGTTAAATTGTTAATCAAACACTGGGTAACGGATATAACGTCTATGGCGATACGGTCGAATGTCGGCTTTCAATTGAGGTATACGGTAATTGCAATTTTCTTTTACTCCCAGAAAGTCACTATGCGATTTTCCCTCTGTGCGTACTTTGTGTAGAGAATTGTATAATATTATTGTGACAAGTGTAGCCAAGATGAAAAAAAGAAGAAAAAAGTGAGGATGATATTTAATTAAGCACTCGGAATCAAATTACCACCCTCACACTCACCCTCTCCCCCTTCCCCCCACCCTCCTATTTTTTTGACCGTTTGGCTAACAAGTACCTTTATCGGGTCCATTTATATGATTGCCTTCAAAAGTTCGTCACTACCTTGTTACTATTTACGTTACTATTGCAACATAAAGCCAATGAATTGTATGAATTAATGAATGCTCTTCTTACTAGGTAAATAAACAAACGCATTGCCAAACTAATGATGTCGAGAGCTGTTTCGCGAATTCCTACAGAAATTCCGAAAAGACCCGAGTCCCTGCCTACCTGAATCAGTTTGCCACTTCATTTTCATAGCCTAGGAACCGATTTCTCAAAAATTTCATCGAAACCTCCTTTTTTTGAAGGATCCAATCACAGCCTCTTGAATGCCAAGCCACTGGAAAGGGCCAAACGATAGGCAGCGCATCCACGGCGCATTAGCAGTTTCATCCACTTCGAGATAAATTTTCCACTCGAGAGAAATTCACACATCAACGGCTTCGAAGGTTTCAATTTTCAAGATTTTCATGATGCCGTTGAGTAGGAATCTAATGCAGTTAGCCTTTTTGAGAGACTTTTTTCGATTTGAGAGGTTAACGGTCTTGGGAAATCCGGAAAAGCTGTGCAAAACCTCGGAATATGGAACTTGGATTTCATNCCTTTCTTTGAAGGTTCCAATCATGGCCTCTTGAATGCCCAGCCACTGGAAAGGGCCAAACGATAGGCAGCGCATCCACGGCACATTAGCAGTTTCATCCACTTCGAGGTGAATTTTCCACTCGAGAGAAATTCACACATCAACGGCCTCGAAGGTTTCAATTTTCAAGATTTTCATGATGCCGTTGAGTAGGATCCTAATGTGGTTCGACTTTTTGAGAGACTTTCTTCGATTTGAGAGGTTAACGGTCTTGGGAAATCCGGAAAAGCTGTGCAAAACCTCGGAATATGGAACTTGGATTTCATATGGTTCACTAATCTGCCTACTTTAGTTGGCCGGCCTACTCATTGCATGCTTCTTGTCTTCCTGTTGAGTTTCTGGGTTCTCAGGACCTTTAGACGGGACTAAAGCCTACACGATAGCTTTTAAAGGTATACCTAGATCTGAGCCCATGATATTGTTGTGCCGAGTTCCGCCTTTTACGAATTTGCCGGTCCGAGATCGTTTTAGATTTAGTTTTTCAACTTCAACAGATTATCAGTGGTCGCTAGACATAAGTGCCTTCATACCCAACAGCATTCATCCCCCTGTCAAAGACTTGCAGAGCAAATAAACGGCCAGTGTAGTTGTGGCAATTCGGTGAACTCCTAGCTAATCAGCTTTTCTCAGAAATTCAAAATAACATGAGATTTTGAAAAAAAGATTGTCCAACGAAGAAAACTCGGAAGGGACAGCATGTATGGTCCAAATTCCCCCATCTAGGGGCATCACAGGACATACTGGATTAGGCGAGGCAGAGATTTTGACTTTCGAAGAACGTTGCGTCAACGAGGCAGTGAATGGATTCCCGGTATTCACACTGCAATAAATGGTCTTTTTACCCTCCCATATGCTAATCTTTCTGATAATTCATCTAACTCATTAGTTTTGATTTTGTTCCGAAGCCTACGGTAAATCAAAATTGTGAAATTATGCTTGATTAAAGCTCTCATGGAATGTTTCTCATCGCTTAACCTTGAAGTTTTTCCTACCTCTGCCCAGCTAGTTTCCCTGGTCGCTCCTGACTCAACGTAGTCCGCTGGGATTGATCCATCTTCTCCTGTAACGACCCAACTTTTAAAGAGTACTGTAGATCCAATCTTTTTCTTGGTCCTGAGCACTTTACTCTCTTTTTACTCTGAGGGGACTCTTCTGTGGACCGATTTGGAAAGTCATAACGCAGCACGAGCTCGTCGAGATAAATTTTTTATTGGTTTAGTATTGACGGATTTTCTAATAGCCCAGACCTACTCAGTCACATGCTTACGTGTCCGCTAGAGTTCCTTTTCTAATACTTTCTGCAAAGACTTTGCAGATCTACCTGCTGAGATAGATCCTTTTTGTCGGTCAGGTTTTTTATTACTTGGGTGTTAACTTTGAGGAAGTAAACTGTAGTGTTAGCATGTCACAAGCAATCATAACACTGTAATTCTGTTGCCTGCCCTGACCAGTATCATTGGAATAGGTATGTTATAGTGTCCTTGTGTTGACGGCAGATAGGTTCTCTCTCTACTTAGATAATTATGCCCGGCACTATTTACCCTTTACTGCCCCACTTTGTCGAAAATGGGATGGATTTCTATCGAATTTTTTTCAAGTGTAGGAAACAAACTAGAAATTTGCCTAGAGGGGTAATTCGACACGAAGAACACAAATGTCGCATCCACTCGTCATGAAGATGCCTTGCGCTCGCGCCACAGGAGCCGGGCCAAATGGAGCTGGGTCACTAACCTAGCTGAAAACTTGCCCCTAAGTGGAGTATTAGAACAAGGCATTTTCATGACGAATGGATGCGATATTCGTGTTCTACGAGTCAAATTACCCCTCTAGGCAAGTTTCTAGTCGGTTTCATCTTCCTGAAAAAAATTCGATAGAAATCCAGCCCATTCTCGACAAAGTGGGGCAGTAAAGGGTAAATAGTGCCCTATTCCCCCTCCAGACGTCTTCATGCTACTTTCTTTTCATGCTTGTCCCAGTTCGATCCCTGTCTGTCGCTAGAACCACTGTTCATGTTGGTTGACGATACTTCCTTCCATTTACGGTACCTTCTACTTTATCTTCGTAGAAGTTGATCTTGACCATGTCCCTCCAACTTTTCTTCTATAGTCCTTGCAGCTGCTTCCTTGAGTTTCAAATACATTGCTGTTCACACTCACCCCTGTAAGCCTTCCTAATTGCCAATTTCGGCCATGCCATCATAGGCAGAAACTACCTCACCTAGGCTGCAGTTTGTGGTGGAGTACATTATACTGAAAATTGGCTCCCCAGATGATAAGTGGGTGTTGATTACCCTAACTCTTCTATCAACAGTGAGAATTTGTGATGTAGGAATTGGATTTAATTAGTTTTGTATCATACCAGTCAGCTCAACTTTTTGCTGATCAACTAATTTAATTTGCTTTCATTGGCCAACTGTTGAATTAGCTTTGAATTCATCCAATTATTGATGTACTTCTCACTGCTTGAAGGCTTTTTTGGTCTTTTTGTTCTTAACATATTCCCTGAAGAACGCCCAACTAAGTCAGTTTACATTTCTTTTTGTAAACTTGTGCCACCGTTCTTTGAAAAAATTGCGACTTCCAAATTCACGATTTTTTAAATGCAACTCAAGCACATCTGCTATTATGTATATATTTCCTGGAAACCTTTGATGCATTTGATAACTTTGTTATGATAATAGAATCCTTTCACTTTCAATATGTCGCTTTAGGTTCCAAAGAAGATGATAGTCCGACCAAAAGAAGCCGTTCATAATGTGAAACCTAATATCGTGTCAGTATTTCCTGGTACTCCAACGGAGGCGGGGCATAACATTCACAGTCTCACTGACTTCGCTGATTAGATTCCGAGCCCAGCGGAGGTAACCTTGCTATGGCTGTTTTCCTTGATCCCCTTCCAACCGTTTCGCTGATATACGGTATGAGGACACTTCTGACGGGAGTCAAGCTCCCGCTAGGATAAACATTATAGCACGCATTTGTCTGCCTTGGGATGCCCAGTTTTCAGATTAAAACCTTGGGATTTAGTACTTCATTGGAGCACCCTCATCTCTCCCGGTTCCACCTTCAATAGCAATCGCAGAATTGTCTCTTCTACCAGCAGGTGAAAGCGTAACACACTGGTCATGCACACTCTACTCTCTTAGGTCCTGATTGTCATTTGCCTCCCTCCTGACCTCTGAGGTAGTGACCACCTCCCCAGATCCATCTTTGAAGCTCTTCAAACGTTCATTTGATCCAGCAATCGGGACAATTCCTACGAGGAAGCTCGGCTACGGAAGGTTTGAATGCATGACATGGGAACTTCTCATCTATCCGATGGCAAGTTTCGAGGCCCAGAAATTTTCCACAAAACTGTTATTCACTTCGAGTAATCCCTCCCGTAACACCCTCATGTTATCCTTTTCTTTATTTCTCAATTTCTCTTACTGCCTACTTCCCAACCGTTTTGGGAGCTCATTCCTCGTTCAATACGTTTCGGAAGTTTGAGATTGCTCTCTGAAGCAATTCAATCATTTTCAGACCTAAAAATGAACGAAACAACTGCAACTGTGCCACACATTACAACTACCCCGGAAAACTGCTATTATGAGCAACCGGCCATGACGAATATTCGTTTTTGGCTGGTTACTGTATTCGGTTCAACGGTTTCGTTCATTAGTATTATGAACAACGTGCTTCTCTTCTATGTCTTCATATCAAGGTCTGATTTACGTTTTTTTCGCCTTCGAAAACTCGGTTAATTACAACCATCAGTCGTCAAAAAATAAAGAATAAGTGGGAGTATGTAGGTGTCTTTTTTCATTTTTGCTCTTGCAGGAATTTATGTGGCTAATGGCAGTAGGTACATTCCACAGAAGTATCATTAGTGGGGAATGCGAAGAGAGTGAGAAAGTTTCGCATGAGTCACCTTAAACAGAACTTGCAAGACTAGTAATTTACGGTTCCCCGTAAAAAGTAACGAATTGTAATGGATACGTAGAGAATAGGAAATAGTGTACTTCACAGGGCTTTTCCCGGCACATGTGATTTCTGTGACGCATGTTGTCCCGATATAGAACGACCTCTTAGAAAAGCAGTCAGTGGCATCTTCAACAATCCCCGTCACGAGACGCTGTAGTCTAGCAACAATGTAGCTACAAATATTGACCCTAGAAAAAATCTTTTAAGCTAAATTAACATGTGACCATGAAATGTGTAGCTTGACTACGACTCGGAAAATATGTTTTTACCTACCTACGTTACCTTACAGAAGCCAAATTTGGATAGATTCTTGCAGCTGAGAGGATCAGCCATTAAGAGTCATAATTTGTAACGTGGGGAAGGAAACACCTATTCAAGGTTGTTCGAAAAGGAAAAGGAAGATCCCTGATCTGAGAAACCGGTCCGAAAGTTTGAGTATTTAAACGGTACTGTATGGGACACTTCGAAGAGCTCATAAAATTCGAATAATTTTCCCTATATGGTCATATGTGACTAGCCGAGGAGTAGTGGTAGTATTCAGTAGATAAAGAGCGAATCATCATTAAGATGTAGTAGAGCACCAGGATATACTAATATTCTTTCATAGTTCTCCCCAGATCGGGAGGAGGGGGCATATTTGGTAATAGGAAAAATAGAATCAACAGGAAAACTTACATATTACCAGCAGGTTTCCTTGACCCACGTTTGGCCCTCTGTACAAGCACTTAGAAATCAAAAGAGGAAGATGAAATTCCCGGCATATCCAATTTACTCGTATAATTCTTATTTTCCGAAATATTCTCTAAAATGCGATTTCAGGAAGCACCATCGCACGAACCACAATGTCTATCTGATGTTATTGGCCTTTTTCGATATATTTGTGAGCACTGCCTATATTCTTTTAATGTCTGTAAATGTGCTCATCGACTATCTTATATCACCTGTTTTAATGCAAATGTGGTAAGTAGAATATCTCTGTGATAAAGAAGGAAGATATTGGGCTGAGGAATAAGGAAATGAATAGAGGCAAACACTGGAGGACTACTTCGGACTGGCTATCAATCCTGAATTGAAGATGTTCTTCTTGTCTTTCTCAGAAGATTAAGGGCAGCGTTTGAGCTTACTTTGTTAGCTCCTAAGAACCGTAAAGGCGTAGCGATCCTGTAATTTGATTCATTCCTAGATTAACGCTCTGCGTCTTAATGACTTATTTCGTGAAAGCAACTCTCGAGACGTATTCTCATTTATTAAAACAATATTCAAGTGTTACATAGCCACTGAACATTGCGAATGTTTTACGGATAGCACTGCACTCGTACAGTGTATAAGCGAATATGAGTACATGGCGCATCCCGGTACTGAGAAGTGTAAAATATTCCGCATAATGGTGTTAGAAGAGCAGATCTAGTGATTCCTATCGATATTCAGGAACAGCGAGGGCAAGTGGGGGGTCGGTAGGGTAAGGGAAAGAGCAGGGTGTCCGGAAAGCACAAGTACGGGTACGAATCCCGTCCGAGACTAAAGTTTTGTCCATCGGCCAACCTTGTGAATCTAACGTTTTTGTTTCCAGGTATTCCTATATGGTGCCAATGATAACGATATCCCATGTGGCTATGACATCGTCATCGTTTCTGATTGTGTGCGCATCATTTGAGCGCTACTGTCTCACCGTAAACTCAAGATTTCTTCCATTCGCTCAAAAGTAAGTTACGCTGAATGACGTCCAAAGACTATATGACTGAATTAAAGTTAGTCTTTTATGCTCAAGAGCAGTCTGAGACAAACATATGGTAAGAAAATTAGATTCGCTAGCAAATTGACTGACGTCCAGACAGAAAAGAGCTTTTGACGCAGTTCGACACAAAACAAAAGTTCATTAGTTCAGCATGATGCATACTCCACTTATTGGTACATACGATGTAGTTTTAAAAATAAGAATATCTAGTAGCACTCTGATCTTCTGTGAGGATCCACTTTATCTTAATTGTGACGTTGTTTCCCTTACTTCATTCCCTTGAAACAACAAACAGCAAAACAGATGAACAGAACAACAAAAGAAACAACAAAACAACACAAGGACCCCCAGTCAGAGAGATTTTATATCGTCGACAAAATACAAAACGAGCGCCTTTACTGGGCTCCGAAGAAATGCTCTGAAGATATTCAAATCCCCATGTGGTCGATGAGTTTTACATTTTTTGAAAAAGTATGAACAACGGTATAGTCCTCCTCAGCAAAAACAATTATAGTTATCAAGCTAAAACCCTTATATTGGGTGGACAGGAGTGATAACTACAGTTGTAGTAGTATTAAAGTAGTAAAAATTGGTTGCGTCTTACTTGATTGAAGTTGTTCCTATCAAAGAGCCAATTTTTCAGTAATCGCAAACTCATAGCTGGATTTGCTATTCTCTTTGGTGTCATTAGCAAGGGTACGATGTGCCTTGAATTTGAGGTTAGTTCAAATAACAACAATCGTGGTGAAAAGGTAGAATTGCCATCATTCTGACCTCTCAATGATTCCAGCATAGCTTAAGTTAGCAAAAACTTCTAGGGGCAGTGTAGTAGTTTTCGAAAATGACTGCCTAAATAAAAACGTTAATAGGAATTTGTAAGAATTGGACCAGACTGAATAGGTTAGAAAGGTTCTGCAGAGTACCAGTGAATCTGGTTAATCCCGTTTTTGGACGGTATGCGCTGAAGTTGCCCTTCGTACCTGACCAGAGGCTGTGAGGGGAGGGGGGCGTTCCAGGCGCTGATACCATGGCGTCAAATGCTGAAGCGAATATGTAAAGGAGTATGTCGGTGAAGGTGGGCGGCCAGCTAGTCAAAACCGACGGTGAAGAGGATTGACAGCACGAACGCGAGACGAGTGATTACAGCAGTATGGCTCAAATTCTAGCTCACCTGCTTTCCAGAATCTTCCACGCTGGACTCCTAGTTCAAATATTTGAGCGCTATACGAACGCTGTGTGCATCTGGACTTCCTTGCAGCCTTGGCACCCTCGTCTAAGCTACATATTGTGGAAATTCAAGACGCACTGGCCTCATGAGAGCCCTATCATTCGATCCTGTGGTACCTATTACTCCGTGCGATACTGTAAAGCTCTCATGCCAATGTACAGTGGAGCCTTTCAAAAGAACAGTTGGATCTTACTACCCGCTCCCGCTTGCTTTTCGGCAACTTTTCCAGACCACAAATAGGTACAGGGCCCCGCTTATTCGATACAAAAACGGGAATACGGAATTAGGGCAGCTGTTGTAGTGCTTTATATTAAAACTCACTTAAACATATGAATGAAATTCCATTTCAAATTGAAATAATTTTAGTTCTACGATAATCCTGAGTGTGAAGGCCTCATCACCCAGACTGACATGCGTTATCCGGACTTCGTCTTCAATACCCCATACAATGTCGTGTGGCGATTTTGGTAAGCACTCCTGGTATCTTCATCCCTAAGAGTTCCCAGTCTAGCACGAGTTCAACCCCATTTGCATTAAGCAGGAACTATTGTTTCTAGTCTTTGCACCAAAAACTTCTTTGGAACAGTCAGAATTCGATTTTTTGCTATATAGAGAAGTTGTAAAGAGTCGTTAGGAATAACAACAGAACATCTTCTTTTAATCACTTGACACGGTGTCGCGATGGGAGTGTAGGCGGATAACTCTCAGCACGACAGTTGACGGTTGTTCGCATGTATGTAGACTCCTAGGTTCCTTTTGAACCTCTTACCGTTTCTTATGACACCATGCTAAGTAAGGGTTGTGAGAATGGGAGGATCAGGAGCTACCTGCAAGTCAATCAGGGTAATACTCAAACATACTGGCAAACCACGTTCATTTCATTTCATTCTGGATGAAAAAAACGGAGAGCTCACTTCATTATATTTCCATTTTAGGTATCGCAACTTTGTGACGGTGTTTGCTCCATTCTTCATTCTAGCCTACTTTAATATTCGGATAGTAAAAGCATTGACTAAGCATACCAAACTAACTGTATGTCAACTGGCTGGTAACGCCCTTGTTGAACAAGCGAAACGCAAGGTAAGTACATCTTCCAACACTTTTCGTTTAGGTTTCCTCAGGATCATCATGATTTTGATTCCTCGATTACTAACAAGCTCATTGATAATCCGCACCTTTCTTGAATAGAGCAGATTAACACCGAATGGCCACATCTCAGTTCTCGCAATGTTTATCCTAATTTCTTACTAACCCTTCTTTTATGTCATTCATACTGTTTTCTCCTTATGTGCACCTTTGTTTTCTTGAAAACCACTGGCTCTCGTGCTCTAAAATAGACTGTGAATCGGTTTTGTGAACTGCTACCCAGTACCACTTAATATCACTCCCCACTTTCCCCACGAAGATTGTCACGTTTTCAGGGGAAAATTCAACTATGAGTACCAACCTTATTATGAGCCACAAGATTAACTGTTTCCAGTCAATCACAATCCTTGAGTTGGGAACAACTCGATTCCCACAATGAATAATATGAGGTCACAATTCTCTAAAGTTATCGTAAGACTCTATATCCAGCCTACGTTCTTGGTCTCAGCGTCTTTTCAATGTTTTTTTGTACAATCACCATGTTCAATGTGTATTTGTATGGTACAGCTTAATAGTGATTCCTTTTGTTAGATGTCCGAAAATCCGATTCTGGATCCCGTGAAACGCAAGGTAACCTCGCTTTGTTCGTTCATTGCATGCCCTTCCAGTGTTTGTTACGTCGTTTTACTAATTTTCCGCTTTGTTCCAATTGGAGTAGTACTGAATGTAGTCGGTAAGCCTCTGAAGAAACCAGGCAGGCATCTATCGCTGTGGCAGCTGATTTTTTGGTTATTTTATTGTCCCTTTTGGCATATAGCTTTGCATGGAATGGAGGCTTCCTAGCTGGTCTTACCTCACTCCATCCTTGGAAACCTTTTTGTGTTCTGCAAATTACTGAATGGTCCATTCCCAGCATGTCGTCTTTTGTTGTTTGGAGCTTTGAGTGCAGTTGGAGTCTGACCCAGGAGATCTTCAATCAGAATAATACTCAACTATGCAGGCGAATATTTCAGGCAAACGCCCGATCCGCCACACGGACGCTGGTTATGGTGGTCTGCTGCTATCTAGTAAGCAATATTATCAGCGTTGCGTTGACGATATGGGAGCATTTAGACAAGGAATCGTTGCTGACTCACTACAGCAAGTTGGTAATTAACGTATTTAACGACTTCTATGCTAGCTACTCGTCTTTTCGGCTTTTTCAACTACTACAATATTAATCAGAAAGGTACAAGGGACGTTTAGGTACAAGGCCTTGAGAAATAGGGTCGGTTAGAAATGGAGTCATAGGCATTGAGCAGCCCTTTTTGTGAGGTGCGCCCCTGCATTCGACTTCAAATAAGAATCAAAATGACGGTACGAACGCGTGCGTGGCCTGTATAACGGCTTGCGATTAACAGCCGATGTACAGTCAGTATTCTTATCCTCTCAGACGAGACTGGCACCAGGTAAGCGCTCCCGAAGGAATGGAAGGCTTGGTTGGCCTAGGCGATGGAGACGGGAATCGAACCCGAACCATGCTTGTGTAACAGTGCCACTTCACAGCTAGCGCTGGCCTACGAATAAGTCGACATTACCTGCAGGGATGGTAATCTCCAACCGAACATGGGGTCTTTTCTTCAGAAGAAGGGCTCTCCAAGACATCGCTTGCACTCTTCGAAGGCCTAGCGCTCTCCTCCTGAAATCCTTCCTCACAAGGTTGAGAAGAACACTGGCTTTTGCGGTCGGTTCCAGGTCACGTCTATCCCCCAGTTACCCCCTCACATGTTGGCGAACAGATACATATCTCAGGGGTTCCCCATGGAGGATTGATTTCGTTGTACCTTTACCAACAACACTTCCCCCCGCTGGGATACGCCGTCTCAAAAAAGCCGGTTCACCGGAGTGAGCTTTTAATCCAATTCTAACTGATGAAAAAGCGCTTGGGGAAACGCGTGATGGAAATTACTAAAACATAATCTTACTAATCGGTAAGTCTCTTCAATCATTTATCTTATATTGCAGCATGTATGCGATAGCTGTTGATTTGGTCTCCTTGCTGACCACGTCCGCTTGCGCATGTCGTCTACCTATTTATCTCGCTTGTCAAGCATCTCTTAGGCAAGAAATCAAGGAAGTCCTTAGTACGGTATTCTGCTGTTGCAAGCAAAAGGTACGAGTAAAGAGCTTTGAAGTATTCCGCAAATTTTTTTTTGTTGTCATGAAATACTGGCAAATTTTTTATCCTTATGAATCAAGGTAGAATTTCTCCAAGAGATTTTTCAGAAAAATATACGGTCGCTTTCTCAAAGGGTAAGAAAATTCTGAAAATAAAATCTCCCTCACATTCGGACCCACGCTACACTACTCACTGATAACAGGCAGTAAGCTTTGTTACCTAGGCTGAGAACGGCTTTGTCATTGGAATGTATCTCTGGAAATATACCCTTTCCATACGACTAATATAGCCAACTCTATTGATCAAAAAGGTCGAGTGGTCCGGAAATGGAAGAATATTCCTCGATAGATGTCCTTTTCCCGACCTTGTGAAGACGGTATCCCCGTGTCCAGGCGTTCGAATACAGTCCTCTCGCACCATGTTCATCCCAACAATGTACCGGTTGCCCCAATGATCCTATTGTTGTTGTTGTCGTTCACAAGCCGGGTGCCGTTGTGCTTCCTAAAACCTGATTGATCATCCTCGAAACAACACTTCGCCTTCCGACTAGACAGACAATACTTGAGCCTCAAAGATGCTACGAGCTTCTTTGCAAGAAGTAGCTTGCAAACATTCAATGACTCGCTTCAATGCTATGATCCGATCATGGAGCAGGTATCAAGAGAATCCCCTTTCAGCTGGTTTGCGCTAATCTCCCTGCAAACTGCCAGTTGACCAGGCATGAGAAGATCATAACAGTCACTTGGATTATCAGGGGGCATACAATTGGAAATCACGAGTAATGTTCAGGTTTATCGAAGGCAGAGCTGTTACAGCCAGCGTCTGTGCTTCTCTCTTATGGGGCAATTTAGGTCAGGGTAGGTATGTTCCAACGGAGCCTCACACCCTAGCAGTATGGAAGTGCTTTCCATGGTGGCGAATATAGGTTGATCCTATCAACTTGCACTAGAAAGCGGATGGCATGGAAGCTTTTAGTGGGAAGTCATTCGAAGCGGGATTATCTCTGAACCGGATTCCAACACTTTAGCTTCGAATCAGAGGTAGAGTAGTAAACATGGGTTCCGTACACCGTCCACGTACCAATAAGAAAAGGGTCAGACCTGCAGGAAACTTTGATGTCGCTCCTCTTCTGGAGAGACCATGCCACATGATGAAGTGTGGATCCTGGCGAAATCCTCACCAAACGGACAATTATAAATGTAATTGCAGGCAGACAATGGCTTCGGCGACATACATAACGTCAACATACTTGACAGGTCCGGGTACCATCCTAAATTGAAAGCCATTGGAATGGTCTTGTGAGAGGGTCTGGTCGAAACTGGTGCATGAAATCTGTCAGGCGTTTAATGCATCCATAGAAAGAGTGGCATTTGGACCGTTATGCCATATTTGGTCTGTCATGCAGAGTTAGGGCTTCTAAGAGTAGGAGCTATTTCTTGGAAAACCATTGGCTGGAGTGAATAAGAAAAAGAACGACCACGGTAAGCTAAAGCTTTCCATGTCAGTGATTGCTTGGATGAAACCAAAAAATGCCCTCAAAATCGGACCTATAGACACCATCTGAACAGCAGTGCTTCTTTCAGCGAGAGATCGGCCAATTAACTCACTTTCATTATAACAGGACCATTGGTCAGTCAATCGAGACGTCAAAGACGTCCATAAGGGGACACCGGACAAAGTTTTTTTTATCAGAAACCAAAGTTCTGATTGCAAATTAATCCAAAAGGATAGTTGAACAGAGCAACACAATCTTCTTATTGGAGCGGACCATTCGTTTTTCTAATTTTTGTACAAATTGTGAACGTTGGATCTAGGGGCCCCACGAGCGATAATCCTTTGTTCGGTGTGAAACCTGAATCTACGAGATTTATTTTACCAAAGAAAAGTTCCATTTTGATCATCATGAATCATTCCGTCAGAGTGAAAAGCTCCAAACTTACAAGAGCTTTTCTGACCTACGTAAAGTATACACTTCATACAATGTTAACCAACAAATATTTCAGGGCGAAGACAGCGAGTACCTTGTCGTGTCAAAGACTTCAATGGCACCATCTCCTCGTGTTAACGGTGCACCTCAACATCCGGTACTATTTTAATATCTTGAGAATGAAAATGAAATCGAATAATGCACTTAAAAGATCAAGATTTGAGCCTTGCTATGTTAATTAGCCGTTTTTGGATGCCCTGGATGCCCCATAC